CACACACACACACACACACACACACACACACACACACATATATATATATATATATATATATTTCTTAATATCTAGATGCCAGATTTTAGTCATATGCCGTCCTAGTGACGTATTTTACAGAAGAAAATAGCAAATTCTGAAAGGGTAAATAATAAGTGAATAAATCAAGGTTGAGTACGATATATTAAGACGATTTTGGAGCCTTACCACGTCGTTATAGTTCATGTCTCCACGTCCCGTCTCTAGCTTACAACCGTGCATCGTTAAAATAGCACTGAAACGTAATTTTCATTGCAAAAGGCTTCGTCGTAAGGCTGTCATGGTAAAACACTCCCCTTCTTTCTGCTGCTTTCCAAAATCAGGACGACGGTTTCCCAGCGCCGGTTCCAACAGAAAAATAAATAAATACCAGTTCCATTCTCCAAGTGCTTGGAGAATGCTACGGTTGAACTGATATGCCACGGAAGCAACTTATGTACACGCGACTTGTGTAGCTTTTATGGACAGAGATCTTTCTTAATTCTGTTATGTGCTGTTGCCTGGGGCGCGTAGACGACTTTTGCAACTGACCTTTGTATGTTTGTAGTTACGCACAAAGCTACACAATGAGTTATCTGTGCTCTGCCCACCTCGGGTATCGAAACCCGGTTTCTGGCGTTGCAAGTCCGCAAACATACCGCTGTGCTACTGGGGGGGGGGGCTGTCCTTTGCATTCGTGGATACGACTTATTGCAGATCTCTTTCTGGATGATCATGGTGCCCAAAGTTGATTCATACTCCTTTATTTCTGAATGCCATTAAATACAAGGAATATTCCCATCTTGAAAATTCTAAATCACCGATTTGAACACATCTATAGGATCTCGCTGTATAAATATTTGGCGTTGTAAAGGGCTGTTGCATACCCTTCTTAAAAGTGATCAATTTTTTTATGGCATAACACTACTACAAAATGCCAAAATGTTCTGATGCATGCTGTTCCACCAGCGGCTTTATATAGGCTGTGTTTTTCATGTGACCGGTTGATTTGCATATTAAAATCGTTTAAAGATAACGTAGTCAATCCTCTGTATTTGTATCAAATTTAAAAAGATGTATCAGCAAAAAAAACAAAAACGAAAAAAAACATTTTCTCATAAATGGGCGATAAAAATAATTTCTTCACACAGCAGCTTGAAGAAACATTTGAAGAAATTTGCTTTTGAAAAATTTATTGTATAAAAATATCACAATAAACACTTTTTTTATGTAGAAAATTTTTAGAAACGTTTTTAAAATTGTTCCTATGCTATATACTTTACATCTTCTCTGAAGAGTTGCTACATTCTGCGAACAAAACTGCTTGTCATTATTTCAAAATTAAGAAAAAAACAACTTTTAAAAACAAATAAAAACAAAACTAGTTGTTGGCGAGCACATTATTAGGCTTAGTATAAGCACAAATTTAACCACGACTAAAATAAGATGAGAAATATGGCCGTAATACTTTTTTTTTTGTTTTTAAATACTAGAAATACACAAGTTACATGGTTAATTAAATAACAATATATAGTGGCCGTACTTATTTATAAAATATCAAATGTATAGTTGTGACATCAGTCAATGTGATGATTTATTAAAACTTGACTTAGAAAATAAGCTCCTTCAGAAAAAATAAAAAAATAACTTCAACAAAACCAGAAGTTTAAAGTACAAAGTATCAAGAACACTCCAGTAACCATTTACTGCTGCGTGAATTTCATACCAGTGGTTTTCACTCACCTCAGTTACATAGTCTGGAACATCGTCGATTGTTTGAAAGATTTCCTTACGTGGGTCTACTAAGTAGAACATACGTCCTACCGATCTCAAACTCAGGTTCTTAATCATTGTTGGCCACAACACCTAGAATAAAAACACGTCTCTTAGATTTCATGCAACAAAAATCAATTTAGAAACTACACCATTCCAAAGAAAAAAATAAAGTGAGTTAGAAAGAAATGACAGACACAATTTACAAGAATTCAAATATTACAGTATTTGTAGTACAGAAATGAATGTACATACGACGACCTGTAAACATGTGTCATTCACTGCAGCTGAGGGCGTCTTATTTTAAGTTGTTGTTCAGCAACTAAAAATATGAACGCTAATCGTATTTCATAACAACTGTATTAAATCTCTCGTGCTGCCTTGAAACTACTTCCTTCATCGTCGACCGTGCTCAGTACACATAGATAATGTGTGTATAGCCGTCCCTGATTTTAAACTGTTATACTCAAGAGCGCCCATCGTCAATTCTTCTCTGATCGAACAGTAGCGAGGGTTTTATTGTCACTCTTATAACGCTGTGCACCCACGGCCCCAAAGTATCAAGATTTCCCAATGGTCATGATTATCCACTATTATATGACACCACAATATTCATTGTATCAGACCAATACGAAGGATGGGGAAATCAGTCCTAGATTACACACTTTCAACAGACCCTGAACTGTATGCGGATGTAGGCTTCAGAGGCCACGTACAAACGAAAGAGTTCATCCGTTGGAGCTGTATCAGGAGACTTAACGAATGTGTGGCCGAATGACGTGAAAGGCTGTGATCCTAGATTATTAAGCCATATTCCTCATGAAAACAGCATTTAATACCGAGCGTAGCTGCGAAAGTTTGGCTTGCGAATGTTCGTAAGATTCAAATCCTTGTTTATTATCTTGTTAATGTTACAAATATGCCCAGCTTCAGCGTATTTTTTTGGGGGGTGAAATACTTCTTTTTTCGTAACCACATCTTTTATTTTGTGCATGATGTTTTTGTTTCGGATTTGGATTTCGTTGCTTTGCGAAATTTCCTTCTTTTACGGAAAGCATTAAAGGCTTCCTTCTTTGAAATATTGAGTCCTTTGGAGCCAGGGCTGTAGGAAGCGGTAAGGCCAGTCAGGCCATGGCCTGAGCACTTTTTCATGCCATGTATAGCTACAACTTATGTATTAAAACTTGCTTCTTTTAATTCAATACATTACGTTGTGTGTATGCAGTATTTGTAGTTAAAATAGTTCAAGATTCAAGCTCATGGCATTAAATTTTCCAACATTTTCTGGGGAGCATGACCCACAAACTCTTCTTCCCTAGAAATGGCAATGGCCTGAGCAGTAAAATAAAAGGCAAATACGGTCTACAAAGTTTAACGACACTGCTTTATGAATACGTCTCTCCAATCTCATATTTACCCCGTGCATGTTAATTATGAACTATAGAATAGTCGGGGTTTCGCTGTGAACTAATTTTACAAGTGCTAAAACGTTGCCTTTGGTGCTACGGATCGCATGCGGATAACATGCTACAAATCATTTAAATAAGGCGCGATTAACGTTGCATTTCGTCAGTCAGTGGTTTTAAAACAATAACCTGCATCATTATCACAATATGAATTATAGTCTGCAAGTTTTCAAACTTAAACACTGTGGGCTACTTTTCAGGAAAGGAGTACGTGTGTGTTTGTGATATGGAATCAGGATTTTGTTCATTCGTGTATCCTTAGAATTTGATTTCACGCAAGTTTTACATATATACATAAATTGCTGAGCATTTCTTCAATGACGCTGAAGCTTTCTGTTGTGAACAGAGTTGAATTCAGTGCTTTTCTAGAACTTTTTGTTGATTTTAAAAGTTATTTTTTTATTAGATTTTCAACGAAGTATGTTACACGTCAAGCATGTCATACGTTATGTTCATATGTGAGCCCGAATAAATTTGCATATTTACGAAAACGTTGCGTTGTTCAAAAAACTGCATGTTTTTACATGCCGTGTACAACTGTAAGAAACGTTAATGGTACCGATAGTCACAACTAATTCATAAAAATTTAATATGGTATCGGTGCTTTCAACAATGCATTTGAACATTCACCAATCCTTATAATTTCATCTAATTGGTTTAGCTTCATGTTAACATGGATTATATATTTTCAAACTCCTCAAATTCTATTCCTAGAAAACACTAACGTTCAAAGTCTACCATGTCAATATATTAAAAAAAACTACAAATTCAGATAGAGAAAAATAGTGTTAACAATTAATTTTTGGTCACTGTCATGGTTTTCAATTAGATCCTTTCACTGTGACAGATCTACAAGTATACCCAGGATCCCTTTGATGTATATTACAATACTGCACTAATACTGGCTTAATGTCGTGATAGATAAGATTAAAACGAGTAGTGAAACGAAAACATAAGGCATTAGCTTACATCAACCAACCTCTGTCAAAACTACCGAAAGGAGACTAAATGAGCAAAATTGGTTACTATGGTAACCTTTGTCAAAACAACCGAAAGGGAAATAATGAACAAAACTGGTTACTATGGTAACCTCTGTCAAAACAATTGAAAGGAAACTAAATGAACAAAACTGGTTGCCATGGTTGGTCTGCGAGTCAGAAACATCTAATAACAGTAGAGAATGTAAAAGTCGGAGAGAAATATTGTCAAGACCATAAAAAAGGAGACGGACCATCAGTGGAAGAATGTCAGTTTGCTTGTTTTTTGTTAAGCACAAATATACAGAATGGGTGAACTGAAGACAATGTCATGAGGAAGTGCTTGCAAGTCTCTTAGAATCATTGAAGAATTGGTGCGAGATGTGCAAACGGGAATGGAGCAAGTTTTGGTGCTTATGGAAATGTAGGAAATCGAAGTGGTTTGTAGGTCACATTGAAGGGTAAATGTGGACATACTCTGCTGACAATGTGACATGTTGATCGTCGGTCAAACGTGTTTTTAGACGAGGTAAAGCTATCATCATTCATACAAAGCCTTCTTCACATTTCCGTTGTAGTGGTTTAAGGACAGCAGTTTAATAGAGAACACCAGTACGGGTCAAACCGACCACAGCATTGTCAAGTTTCCTAATTTCAAGGAGTTCGCTTCTCACAAATTTGCCTCGTACTGTGTCAATGAACTTAGCTATTGTATTGAAACACTTGCACGACATTGAATTATCTATTGATATTAATTCAAAGAAATAGCAGTTGCAAAAGATTTTCTAAATGTGTGTACTGATGCAAATAGCCTATGATAACAAAGAAATAAGAGGAAAAAATGTTGACTAACTAGCCGAGTTTACAGAATGTTTACAGAGCTGTTAGAGATCTTCAATTCAGGAGAAATGTTAAACGCACTGGTGAATGATGAAAACCTATTTCTATCTACATATGACCGCAATGAATTTGGGCAAATACAAAATACAAGGTTGAATTCACGATTCCCATACTTGTTGATTGACAAAATTCCAGGACTTTCCAAGAACTAAGCAGTTTTTTCAGTACATTTTAGGCTAATCAACAACCGAATTAAATACTTCATGTATAACCGTCAATTTTTTTTTATATCATTTTGTCGTTAAGTTAATTAACAGAAAAATACCATAGCGTGTAGCTCAACTATTTATTTTAAACTTCTAAACGATTAATTTATTTTGTCAATCCAGCATGTATTATACATATTTTTATGCTTAATCCTTTTGTGAGACTATCATAATTTATAGTACTACGAAGCGCCATCATTAACCAATATAATCATTAATAACAGACAGACAGTTGATTCTTTTCATACAGTATTTATAAAACCAATAAAACATACAATAGTAATTTAAAAACTTTAGGGAGAGAGTTAGCACGTGACGCTTAATTAACGGTTCATAGTTCCTTTAAAGGTTAAAATATGCGATGTATATTTTACAATTTCAATTTATAACAACTAACTAAATAATTACAATTTTCCTAAATCTAAAAAAGAGGAGATCAAACAATGGTTAGAACGATGGGTATGGAAGGTTAGCTACAGGTCAAAGGTTCGCAACTCCAGGACATTGACTTATTACGAGTCAATGTCGTTATACTAGCGGGACCTTGCCTGGGGGTGGATGACGTATCTAGTAGTTACGGTTGAAGAAAATTGGCAGGTATTTAACTACAAGACTTTCACTGGTGTTCTATGCAACACATTCTGGAACCGGTTTGCCAGCGTTTGATAAGTTTACTTATTTTAAGTTTTATTTGTTATTGCAAAAAACAAAATAATAAAATCTACAAAAACACTGTATAATAAAGTAAAAAAAAGTACAAATATTGAACAAAAACAAACAATGACTTTTAAGAGAATGTTTTAGAGCAAAGCTACATTGGTTTATCTGCTCTGTCCACCGCGGAGAACAGAACTCCGTATTTTAGCATCGTAAGTGTATAAACTTGCTGCTGCCCCACCGGGAAACGACTATCAAAAAAAAAAAAAACAAATATCATATTACATGGACTAACACACACCGATTAACCCACTCGAATCAGAGAGATATTAAATCTGACCAGAAATTGAAAAACGACTTAATGTCTTAATGTACATATTAAAAATTAAGTTTATTTTCCCTAAACAGACTAGTTTTCTTCGTGATTTACTCACCGCAGCTAATGATAATTCGACGAGGAAATAATAAACATTTAAAACATTATTATTCGTTTGTCGCTGCCACTATTTTTGTTTCATTATATATATATATTATTAATGGATTTTCCCAGGTTTTACTGCACAGAAATGAAATTTCGGGGTCTTTTCAGGCCAGGGACAGCAATGTTATATACTGGCGGTTTTTTCGGACGCGTGGGAACCATGTGAATTATTTCCCTGTTGTCCAACTTGAGAAACTCCTTACAAAGTTTTAATTTACACAACCTGATGGGAAAATTGAGAAAATGAAAACAGGAGGACTACTAAAAGTGAAGCATATCCTCAAAAGTGCTAATGTGAACCAGACAGTTGTTGATCGCCTCTTATGTCTCACCATATTCAACGTATATAAAACTTCTTTTCTCCATTTGAAATGAGATAAAGTCTGGGATTAGTCGAGACACAATGATTGAATTATTTGATGACAAACATCAATTCTAAGTGCACGGATGAGTATGACCCATGACCTGCTATTGCTGAATGGATGACCAGAAAAGAAAGGAGGGATATTGATAGCCGTTTAGATTTGAATTCTTTCTGCAAACGAGAGCTCTTTATTCGGAGGATCTTTTGACGGAGCTGGACAATCATAGTAGAAAATGTCATGAATAGGTCATAACTATTTCACTTTTTATTAGCTTTTGTTAGCCACATTTCAGAAATGACCATTCCTTTTTGGGACAGTACCCCAATCATTTTGCAGCCTGTGAGTCTAATGTTAAGGGAGGCCGGAGTCAAATTTAGCGAGAATGTTGTTAACCCAACGTCTGTATTAATAAACAAATAAAAAAGTCTAAATACGTAGGCTATGCTGAAAGGAGAGCTAGTGTATGTGAAGGAATGATATTTAGGGTTCTTGTGGAAGAAACAAAAGCTAAAACACTGAAAATTCCATCATAACGATAGTTGCTACAATGTAGAGGGTACGAAAGATTCGTAAAGTGTTTCAATCAAAGATCACATTTTTGAGGTGCTCAAAGCGTAGGTAACATACATATTTTGGTATGCCTTTTATCAATAATTACAATTTTAATGAGTCACAAGTAATTTGGTTTGAAAGTTTTCACGTCCAGCTATATTTGTTACAAATTTAGTAAAACATTAGAGAAGGTGGCTAGTTGCTTGTTTGTTTAAAGATAAGCACAAAGCTACATTATGGGTTATCTGTGCTCTGCCCACCACGGGTATCGAAACACAGTTTCTAGCGTTGTAAGTCCGCAGACATGCCGCTGTGCCACTGGGGGGCGGCTAGTTGCTACTTAAATTTTACGAAAGTTTACATTTTATTGTCGAAACCTATACAACCTATGAGCACCATTCCTTCAACATAAATATAATGATTGTGATAGATATTTAAAAATTTTAATTTACCGTTCAGTTGTTACTGTTTAGTAGAGCTGCTTCATTTGAAAATCATCTTCCACTGTGAATTTTGTTTTTTAGGATCTCTTCCATTGTTTTCGTCTTAAAAGAGTAACTGATAATACGAATAAACAGTTTTCATTTGAAAGACGAAACAGCATTGAGACTTCTTACTGATGCATGATTTATTGACATTGATTTATTGTTTTAATGGCACTTTCTGGATTTATACATTTCGCTGACAGTATGGATCTTATTGTTACTTTTAATGTTCGATCAAGTAAACCACAGATTTATTAGTTAAGGTTTTAATTCAGATGGTGGTTGATATACGTGGAAAAAAAAAAAAGTGTCGTTTTCACATTGGTCATACCCATATAATAGTGCTCGAAAACAAGATCTACCGGTCTCGTTCCAGAAATATTACATTGAATTCATCACAAATGCTTCACGCTTAGTTCGTAGTGAACCAGTCTCACGTAATGATTTTAACCTCCAACAATACGACGTGAATCACCTAATAGCGGAAAAGCATTGTAAAATGAACAACAGTAGAATGGGCGTTCCGAAATAAACAGTATTGTTTAGTTCTATTATTAAGTATTTCTCTGTAACGGCGTGGGAACAAACGTTCTAGGACTGAACCTACTCTTACGACCATACATTTTTTGCATAAATGTGATGTTTTGTATGTAATAGACCACATTGAGCGTTATATTAATAATTAATCACACTTTTAATGTTTTTTTTTAATTATCACTAACATATATTATTGTTTTTCATTTAATGATAGCTTTAGCTTCAAATAACAATATTGTACAGAGACCTTAGTTACACATATTTAACACAAAATCACTTTAACGAAGCACATAGTCCTAACATAATAATAATAGGTAGGCAAACAGCGATTTAAATGCATAAGAGCTTTATTGATGGTGGAACGTACTACTTGTTTCAACAGAACATTAAATCTGTCTTCTTCAAAGTTATTACTTACTTATGCTTATAAATCGTTGTTTGCCTAACTATTATTAACACAAAATTAAAATACTTCTTTTCGCAACGTACGAAAACAGTAATACATAACAAATTAACCGTCAAGACTAATAGTACCAAAATATTTTCGTTAATGATTACGTATCAGTTATCGAGCTTCGGATGGAGACCGGAAATGAAATTCTACTTCTACATGCTATACAGTATTAGTAATAGCAGTTTAAAAAAGTTTCACAAACACAACTCGGATAAATAGTCCTCGATCTAATTTTTATAATTATCGAAAATTTTGAAAACTTGAACGAAATAAGAGTATAAATGCTTTCATACCTTCAAGCCTAGTAGTTGAGAAAACGAATAATCACAGTCGCTGTTCTTGATATATGGGAGTTCTGTCTTCCATCAAGTGTAAACGTTGACAGAAATACACCCTACGACCGCTAGCGAATTTTATCTACTGTAGGCCTATGTAGTGCATAATAAAACCACGTGAAACTCAGTATCACATATACTTTGAACTCTTGGCAGACTTCCAACTTTTTCTCAAATATTAGTAACTTTTCTTGCTCTTGTTCCACGTTGTCAGATTTTAGTAAGGAGGGGGTAATTGAAACGAAGTGAGCATTGCTGCTAAAAGTGTTCAGTTTGTAGGATAAGATTAAAATGAAATTATTTAAAACATGCCAGTCAAAAAAAAACAAAAAACAAAAACAAAAAAAAAAAACTGAAACACAACAGCCCAACGTTTGGACTTCCAACAGTCGTTTTCAAAATTCTGACTTGCTTGGGTCTTTGTCGATATTTGATCTGTATCGCGCCATCTATTGGTTTGCAAAAGAGGCTCCTATTTATCAAATGTGGACTCGCTCTAGCAATATGTCCCCTTCTGAAAATACCTATGTATCATATTTTGTTCATTATCTAATGTTTTCTCATTAAGTGAAATCTTTTAGTGATACGTGTTAAGCTAGAGTGGATTCTATTATTTTTTCAGTCTTTACTGCACGGTTACGTTTCCAGTTCTTTCTTTTAACGATCGTTTACTTTCTCCAATATACATAATACCACTGTCTTTAAACTTTGTTTGGTAAATTTAACCAGACTTTTCTAAGGGATCTCCTATATTTTTTGAATCACCCAACAAGTTTTTAAGACGCGATATAATTTAAATGAAACTCTAATGTTAGCAGAGGTAAAAATTCTATTAAGCTTTTATTAGTTACTAGACGAAAGGTAAAGTAATCCAAGTTTTTGAAGTAAAGTTTTTAAACACTTAAGAACAGGCGTTTTGTTTTAATACATCTTAAATATAACTTAGTTTTTCAAGCTTTTTCGTATAACTATTGCAAATAACGTTTTTGAACAAAGCCACATTGAACCATCTGCTCTGTCCACCAAGGACTATCGAACCCCGGACCTTAGCGTTGTAAGTCCGTAAACTATTGCAGAGGAAGATAAGAGGAAAAATCTATGTACCTGTTTGTACGTAATATATCATAATCCGAATGTTTTAGAGATCAGAGTATCTAAAAAAGGTAAATAATTATTTTGTTATATTTTTAAAGTAAACTGGATACATTTATATTTAGCATTTATATATGCTAAAATACCTGAGATAAAAAATTATCATTGTTATATTTTCTACGCAACTAATTTAACTAGGGTAATTATAACAGCCAATTTTCTTAAACGTGCCATAGTCAAATTTGCAACAAATGCTGATATAGAGGGTTTTTGGCTAAGAAACAAAATCCTATATCTATACTCATCTACTGACTAAATTATCCAGCCACCAAATCTTTTTGGGTGGCTTTCTTTACCGTGGCTTAAGTGATTCCCGCGAAAAAGGGAGGGAGGTTAGTGAATTTATTATGTTGAAGGAAAATTGCAATGATTGTTTCCAAATGGATTGCAAGATTCAAGACACAATGTTGAAGTTTGGATGACATAAACTGCTTTATGTTATAAAAAAAGCTAAGGTTGGCTAATTGTTGGCAGAAAGGATGGATAAACGATCAAAACATGAACGATTTGTTTGTTTGTTTTTGAATTTCGCGCAAAGCTACACGAGGGCT